CAGACGCAGGACAGATGGTTTTGGTCAGAGATTATCGCATGGGTAAGCCGTTCTGGGCAACTGGTACGATTCAGAACCAAATAGGAAGGGTGATATACAAAATCAAGGTAGGTGATTTGATCTGGACTAGACACGCAAATCAGTTGAGACCCGCTAGTATTACAGAGGCTAAGTCTAATCCATCCCTACCCCTTGATGTTCTCTTAGACAGTTTCAATCTACACCCTAGAAACCCAAGTGTCTGACGAGGAGTGCGCAACAGTCCCGGAAGAAGCGAATTTGCAACCAAGACGTACTGATCGGATCCGGAGGCCAACTACGCGTCTACAGGTAGACCCACACAAAGTTCGTACGACTGACATTTCTTTTGCGGGAGGAAGGCGTAGTGTCATAACGAACACAAGTGGCGGAATGTCCAGGAAGTATAACTTGGCTGGTGCCAGAGTACTGCAAGAAACTTTTTGTAACTATGCACAAAAGTGGAACATAGTCTTGTCTAAAAAGCAAGTGTTATTCTACAAGACAAACCATGTTCTGTATCGGAACAATTCGTGTCCACAATCCGAACACTGTGGTTTTGTGCTGTGGTACATTTTTGTTCCTGTCGCCTGTTTCACACAAAAACCCACACCACTTGTGCCTCCGGGGTCCTATTTAACCAAATGTGTATTCGACTGTAAACGACTGGTTCTGGTGTGTTTCCTTCTACTTCCACCCGGTCTTGTATCAATACACGTTGCGCTGTGGTCTTCGCTTTTTCCGAGTTTTCAAGGCGGAATCAAGCAGGCGCTCAGTCCTCCTCGGTAGTCGTAACAGTTTGCCACTTTTATAAGCACGTACGGTCCGACCATGTGTTATCCTGATGACAGGCGTGATCAAATCTACACTCAACTCTCCTCCGTGACACGGTCTGTGCCGGTGAGCGACCGAATATTTCTGCTGCGTGGTTGCAACGCGCGCGTTGGACGTGATGCATCGGTGTGGACAGATGTTACCGGTCCGCATGTTATTGGTTCAACGAATGCGGTGACAGACTGCTCTCACTGTGCGCAACACAGGGTCTGAGGATCACGAACACTAGGTTTGCACTGAGTGCGAGTGATTTAGCAACTTGGACGCACCCACAGAGTGGTCACGCTCAGCTGCTCGACTATGTCGTCGTACGTCAGCGTGATACGCGTGAAGTGCGCATGACACATGTACTGCATGGAGCTGAGTGTGGCACTGATCACAAATTGGTGCGCACCAAACTGTACATATATTTTCGTAAATCTATGTATTGCACTCCCGTCATGAAGCGACAGAAATATAACATTTTCTCCCTCGGTACTGTGGAGAAACGTATTGTGCTGGAGAAGGCGATGGCTGCATGCCTGTGTGAGGCGGAAGACATAGCCACAGTGGGCGACCTGTGGCACCACATTCGCGACCAGGTGACAGCTGCTGCCGAAGAGACCATCAGACGCGCAAACTGTAAGCGGCCTGATTGGTTTGATGAAAACAATGCGACAACTGGCGTATTAGTGTGTGAAGAGAACAGCATCTACTGCACAAGTGGTAGACCCAAGTGATTTGGGAAAGAATAGTCAGTTTCGCAAAGTTCGACGGCCAATGACCCGAGAGCTCCATCGCATTAAAAACGCATGGCGGACGGAGAAGGCGAAGCAGATGGAATGCTACACCGAACGTCGCGGACACAAAGAATTCTTTGACTCCTTGTAGGCGGTGTATGGACCGGGATTGGTGCCGCTGAGGACGCTGATGGATGGAAGTTCAGGCGCTACCTGCACACAGACTGCAGATCTGGCAAAAACACTTTGACTGTCTCTTGAACAACCGTTCAGAGATCGAATGGCTAACGTTGAACGGCCTCAAGCAGCACGATGTGAAGATGAGTCTGGCGCACACGCCGACACTGGATGAGACGCAGAGAGCACTTGCTCAACTGCGAAAGGGCAAGTGTGCCTGTGCCGAAGGGATCCTGCCTGAAGTATTGAAACACGGCGGACCCACGTTGGTGATTGCACTGCACCAATTGGTGCAACGTGTATGGATTGAGGAGGAGGTGCCTCCTGAGCTGAAGGATGCCCTTGTGCTACCACAGTATAGGGGCAAAGGGAGCAATCAATGTTGCACGAATCATCGTGGCATCAACTTACTGTGCTGTGTGGGCAAGGTGATTGCCCAAATCCTGCTCAACCGCCTCGTCAGTCAGGTTGTGGAACCGAATGGGGCAGAAAAGCAATGTGGATTCCGTTCGGGTCGCAGCACTATAGATATGGTGTTTGCGGCTCGTCGGTTGCAGGAAAAATGCAGAGAACGACACCAGCCATTGTGCTCGCTTTTTGTTGATTTCACCAAGGCATTTGATACGGTGAACCGCAAGGCATTGTGGCTGCTGTTGGATAAGCTTGGTTGCCCGCGTAAGTTTGTAAGTTTAATTGAATGTCTGTACAGTGGTATGCGGTTGAGGGTGCAGCTGAGTGGAGAGACCTCGGATGATTTTGCAGTTGTCTCTGGTGTGAAGCAAGGCTGTGTCTTAACTCTCGCCCTGTTTCTTATCTATCTTCATGCAATGATGTCTTGTGCTTTTGATGCCGTCTGTGCTTACGGTGTTCGTGTGGAGCACCGTATTGATGGTGGGTTGCTGAACATCCGTCGTTTCGGTGCGAGAACTCTAGTCTGTGAGACAACTATCCGTATGTTGCTGTTTGCTGACGACTGTGCGTTGTTTTCACACAGCGCGGATGAGTTGCAGCACATGACTAGTGCTCTGGCTTCGACAGCGGCCAAATTCGGGCTCGCCATCAACACAAGCAAAACTGTCTGTCTCTTTCAGACTTCACCCGTGGGTGCAATCTTCAATTTTGCCGCGAATTAGCATTGGGGCTGAAGTATTGGAAACTACCTCCCGCTTTTGCTACCTTGGGAGTGTGATGTCGACTGATCAGCAGCTACACAGTAAGCTGCGTATCCGAGTCTCCAAGGCAGGAAGCTAGAGTACCGAGTGTGGAACAACCATCAGCTTACCGATGACAGGAAGCTGATTGTGTACCAATCCATGGTGATGTCCGTCCTTCTATGCGGCAGTGGAACGTGAACGATGTATCGGCGGGATGTGCGATATTTCGAGCGGTTTCATCAGCAATGTTTGCGACGGATTTTGCGCATCACTTGGGGCGACAGAGTTGCAGACACGGAAGTGTTGCGCTGAAGTGAAATCGATGCAGTGGACTGCATACTTTTGCTGAAACACCTGAGGTGGCTCTGTCATGTGAGCCGTATGGATTCGACGCGGATAACCAAACCACTATTATATGATCAGCTGAGTATTTGGAAGCGGCATGTTGGGAAACCGAAGTTACGTTACCAGGACATGATCAAAGTTAGGCTCTCACGATCTAATCTTAAGTGCAGGTCATGGGAATTGAAAGCGGTTGATCGGTATACATGTTGCGATCTGATTACGAAGTCAGTTGCCAAGGTTCAGGAGAAAGACCTCATGCATGCGGAGAAGCGGCAATTGCGGAAGTGGCAAGCGTCGATGGGTTGTACTCCATCGACATCGAGCGCATGGTGCTGTATCACATGCGGTCGTGATTGCCTAAGTCAGGCAGGCCTAGTGAGCCATGAGCGAGGCGACTCGGGACCACTACCGAAGCCACGACGGGTCCTGCAGAGAACGTGGGCAGAACCGGCACAGCGTTTGTAGGTACGCTGCATTCGATTTACTAACCGCATGCTTGCATGCTGGGTCTCTTTATTTAGGTGGTGGGTTTGCTATAGGGTCTTATTATTGCCGACCTGAACTATCTTCTATTAGCTTGCACACGTCGTTCAAGTTAGGTGTAGTTAACATTGATAACATTTTCGCGGTTGTGGCATTTTCCGAAAATATATTTTCTGAAGTATGGAAACTATAGGGGGTATTTGGGAAACAAATATATTTTATACGCTCATTTAGTGAAGAGTCGTGTCACCGTATCTGTATGCATTATTGAATTTATTTTGTTCGTTATCATCGTTTCTAGTGATTGGCTGTTGTTTGACATCCCCGGTGTGTCTGCGCTTGATGTGAATGTTGACAAGGTGCCTACACAGCAGGTACACCAAATGCCATTTGAAGATGTCTACCTGTCTATTACCCATTACCTTGTCCACACTGGCTCTAGTAGACAGTTGGTCGTTGCTAGAGGGGAAGGGGTGCACGATCTTTGTGGCCGTGTTAAGCTCAAAGAGTGGTTCCATGCACTCAGTGTGGAGCGGACTACAGTCTAGCCGCCGCCTTGAGTGCGCTTGATTCCCAAATACAGCGTGTTTGTATTTGCCTGTGAAGGAGTGTGGGCCGGCTCCGTTGATGAAACGTGGCTCCCATCCACATGCCTCCCAGTCTTATTCCTTCGGGTTTACGCTGGATATGGGGTGTGTGGTTGGAGCTGTGGGAAGTGTAGCACAAGCCACCCATGGTCCATCTGTAGGTGCAGGCGTCCTGTCGCTGGCCACAGTGACAGACAAATCCGGAACCGGATGCCGCCAACCATATATAACACTATGGGGTGTGTGCATGGAGCTGTGAGTGATGCAGACGCAGGTGTCCTGTGACAGTTCACAATCTCAGTGAAAGGCAACTTCAGAAACGGATGCCGCCAACCATATAACACTATATTGATCGTACCAGGATACTTCTCCCTTTTTCGCAGTCTACATCGACAGAGAAAACTATCGATGATGGTGATGATGTAGGAGCTGAAAGTTTGCAAAGGATGAATAAACGAAACGCAAAACGAGTTGATGGTGTGTTGAATGAAGAGCTCAAAGTGCTGGTCACGAATCCAACCGGCGATAATATTGCGGTAATCAGTTGAGCAAGAGGAAGCTAATAATGACCCGCCCGAAAGCGAGAGGTTGCGCACAAATGTTGCCAGAAGCTTGATAGGTGAAAAAGATGAAAGAACAGAAACAGTCGATACACAACGTCGTAAACAACTACAAAAGCTAACCAATGAGGGCGGATTTCTTGGTTCGATGACTTTCGAACCCAAATGAACATCAATGCGCGGTGGTGGCACTTCGAATCCATTGTGAGATACTTTGCACCACATCTGACAGGACGAAGATGCATTCGAACGGCGTTCAACCGGCGGCAGGTCAGTGCGTGACTGTTGTGACAAGGGGACGGTCGTCTCTCGGACAGAAGACCGGGTGGATTCGGCGGGAGAAGACAGGTGACGATCATCACCGCTCTATTCGTTGACAGGCTGATGATTGTCCGCTTCGACAGGAATGCATGACACCTCAGGCAGGACAAAAGGAATGGAATAGGTGATCCCGGACGTCTGACAAGAGCCTCGGCCGCGACGCAGATTACCTTGCTTGGTTAAACGTGTGTTAGCTGATGAGCGAGCAATGAGCGATCCACACTGAGCAGTAATCTGACAGGCCATTTCCAACTTCTTCTCCGCGAAACCGTTGGTATAAAACTGAGTCAGCGTGATTGGAGGATGCAGGCGCAGCAAATCACGTAGCATACGATAAACAGTCTCCATAAATCGATAGTCGGAAGTGCCTGTGCAAATGAAAGAATGAGTACGATAAAGAAATCGAGAGGTGGGCGTAAAATATAGCGAATAACGACTTCGCCTGGTACAACAACCGGATGGAAAACTGACTGGGTAAACAGAGTCGTGTGCTGAAAATTATCTAAACAGCCACACCATTTTCAGAGAAAGGCTAGCGTGATGAGAGACAACAAATAAACAGGGACAAACGGATCAGATGGTAAATAATGAACTGGTAAATAGGAGAGATTTGGTCGGCTGCAGCGTGGGTGAAACTGTCTGTGAAATGCAACAAGGTGAGATCGGCAGAAAATGTATCAGATTTCGAATAGATGACAGCTCACTTGGAACAGAAGTGTCAGTAAGCCCGCCCCTGTTATGCAGAGAGGCCATCCCATCAGTACCCAGTTATCAACCACACTGCAGAAATCTGGATGCCACAGCAGATCGTGTCGCCTGTGAGTGCCTGTGGTACCCACGTCACAAGCAACTGGACTGCACATCATGTGCTTTAGTATTATTACAATGCTGCCGTAGGTGCAACTCCACTCGCGCGCACGGACAGTGACGATAACGGCTGCCAGCGAGTCAGTAGGCCGACAAACGGCAGCGAACTGATAAACACATGCGGTTTACAAGGAAATTCGCTAGAGCCACAGTCGGCCATACAGTCACTGCATATCCGAAAAAAAGCTAGAGGACCGTTTCACCCCTCACAAACTCGTCAGTAAGTGCGGAATTCACATGCCAAATGAAGGGTTACGGAACCTGCGGTTCTTCACCCCAGATGGTCGCAGCAACTGCCGCCCATCTACCGTAGTCCCAACCAATGGATAGAAAATGAAGAGTCTCGGGTACCAACTGCTGAAGTGTAGCACGAACATGCGCCGTTGATGAGCTCCGAAAGGATGGAACGGCTCTTTTGCTGAATCTGAGGTGGCTGTGTGACCGAGTAGTGTATAAAAACCTCAGAAATTAATCTAATTCTTTATCTTCAAAACCTTCTGTTAAAGAGATACCTACGGAGGTGCAGTAAGGTAACTGCAAATGGTACGACTCCAGTGGAATTGCAGCTGTTGGCAATTAAGCTTGAAAATATGAAAGGAATATGAGTAATGGGAGTTGGGAGGGAAGGGAGAAATACATGGGAAAGTAAAGAGGGAGGCTCCAGTAGTAGCATCCGCTCTGCAGTATGCAGCAGATAAGGCGATACTTGAGAATCTGCGCGACGATCGATGCAGGATGTTTGAAGAAATAGTCAAGGTTATACGTGGGCCAGGATACTGCCAAGGCGCCCAGACCTAGGCAAGACGTGGATCACGGTCCTCAACCAAAGCATTTGGCTCAAAAGCCTTTCCGCGAGGCAGTGGATGCCGCAACGACTCGGTTGTACAGAAATGGACGCCATCCCATTTCAAGCCATTAAACTAGGGGAGTTCGTCTGACCACTAACCATTGATGAAGCTGGCAGGAGTAGCTCTCAAGGAGCCCGGTGGCACCACACAGTATAGTCCAATGGATCGAAGAGGTACGCAAATCGTTGCACCATGTTAAGGTCCAGTCTCGTTGCGAACGAACTAGAGCCAGTCGTACAGCACTGCGCCGTACGGAGGCTTCGCTGCCATGCAATTAGCACCAATGGCGCGTGGGATAAGGACACTGCGAGGGTCATCCGGTCACCTAGGTAGATTCGAAACGGTGACATTCAACTATTGACTAGCAGTTGTACCATTCCATCCACGCAACTGTTAGTTAACACACGACTCATGCGCGCTGTTCAGCCCATTAGGTGCAATAATTGCAAAACCCATATTCATCATTAAAGACACTGAACATCGAATAACCACAGAAACACGGCTTGAATACAAACAACTTCAAAGACACCTATATGCCAGATGGGAAGACAGACTGTAACAGTGAAAACAGTGGGCATGTAACAACAGACCATAAAACATGAAATGACAGTGTACAGTAATGAAGAGAAAAAGGCTCACCCAAAATCGCGAAACCTTTTCCGACTAGAAGTTTCGTCAATTCTGTACTGTGATCGCATAACAAGTGGCGATAGAACTCCAGAAATGCCCCGGGGTTTCCCTTAGAGAGTCTAGAGTAACAAGTGGACAGGATTGGGATAACGAAAAAACAACATTCGGTGCGCAGCGAGTACAGAAAAAGCATTAACAGTACGCCGGTACATTGTGACGATGCTTCGCCGCCACGCGACCACTATCAGTCGCACGTGGACTGGGTTCATCGCGAAGTCGAACTAACACGGAATGGAACCGGCGACCTCCGAAGTACAAGTGTGCAATCATTTTACTCACCAGCTGACTAGACACCATTCTATTCAGTTGCATGTCACCATAGGCAAAGAATATACTGAATACAATATTGCGGGAGCGAGAAATAATTTCAGTCTGTACGACAAGTCAAAATAAACTTTATACACCTAAATGGGTTCATTATCAGCATTTAAACTATCACTGTGGATACACTGAATGAATGGGACCAGTTAAAAACACATAAATACAGATTGAAGAATTAAGTAGACAAAGGCATGTAGATGTCATTCAAGAAGCCGCATGCGCAAAGCACGTTTGACTTTAATCGGGTCGACAAGAATGACAACTAAGCCAAGATTGTGTTATGATACGAAGAAATGAGAAAGAATAAAATCCTAAATTTTGAGCGTGAGAGACAGATAAGGTTTGTGATAGAGCAATATGTACCCGACGAAAGCGGCCACTTAGGAGGCTAAAGAATAATTTCTGCAAGCGTCGAAAAGTTTACGGGCAATAAAATCAACTACGGAATCTAGACAAGCCAGCACATTTGAAAATATGTTTAATGGGTCGCACAAGCAAAACAAATCTTTTGCAGTAGTTCACCGAAGATTACTGGGGGATAGTACAACCAGTGGAGTAGTATACATGGAGTTACGAATCACAAAATCAAACTTCGCGCTTAGAACGTCTTACGCCGGAAAGCATAAAAGTCTGTTCTGGTAAAATGTCACCAAAACGTTCATGAACCAAGTGAGGTTTTGGGAAAATTAGACACCGATATTTGACAGTGAATGAAACAGGCATAATTTTATTCTCGTTAATAGGAGACATCACCCGCAATTTGTCGGGACGTAGAAATGAAAATGCATCTCAGAAGATTTCAAAGCATTAAAGCTAAGGGACTGGTTGATGACCAAATCACAAGTTCGTCTAAACCACATTAAAGCGTAGACATTGAAGAAGAGGGAGCACCGCAGCCCAAGACAACGTCGTCAGCATATTTACATCTAATGAATGTTGATGGTACGTAGTAGTAGTGGTAGTAGTAGTAGTAGTACTAGTAGTAGCAGTAGTAGTAGTAGTAGTGGTGTATATTAACTAGTACAACGTTGAAGGTAGGGAGACTTCGACACAGAGAGGATCAAAAGCTTGAGAGGATCGCGTTATGTAATACATCAGTCAGCGCGGAGCATGGGGAACATTTTTCGTTTAACTGGATAAAGTGCGTACGATCAGTGAAATAGGTACGCAACAGGTTGCGAACAGGGTGGAATCCGTTCAAAGAAAATATCTTAAGCAGAACTGATTGGTCAAGGCCCCCGAACGCATTCGAATAATCAAGAAACAGAAGCCGTACGGACCTGCATTTTTTATCCAACGCAGAGGCTACTGAATGCACAAGATACGAGACAGCACTTAGCGTAAAGCGCTGGGTCTAAACGCAAACTAGCAGACATCATCAGCACGAGTAGCTGTGGAAAACATTGGGACTAGTAGCTTTTTGAGGACTTTTAAGAGCACGGAAGTACAGGCAATGGGCCGATATTTTTGAGAATTCTTTTTGGGAACTGGCGTTATTCTAGCTGACCTCCAGATGTCAGTCGTGAGATACTTGTTAAAAATATCAGTCATAAGGAATGTGAGGGAATCGGCGCACCGCTACAAAAGCACAGGTAATAAACCATCAGGGCCACTTAGCTTTATGTGAATTTAGCCTTTTGAGTTCTCTGTTAATGTCATCTTGATCAAATAGGACGGCTGCACCTGAGTTGGTGAAGAATGGTAATAGAAAAGCGCTCGACGAAGAGGAACTAAACTAAGAATGTCAACATCCAGTGTTCCAGTGCAACCAATGATACTTTCTCACAGATTTGTTTCAAGGGCCTCCAGAGATCCCGGCAGTTGAGGTTTCCCAGTACCGTTTCAATGTATAAACTGTTTAGCCTTGTTATTTAAACCTTAATGACCAAAGTAGGGCTTTTGAAGCGGGTGGTAATTGTGAGATTGTAAGCAAGTTCCTTTTTCCTTAGATGTTGTTTCAGCAGGGGTGAAGGAAACCTATCTGCTCGCAGATAGATCGTCTCGATACTGAAGCATAGGTGGAAACAAAAGTTTACGTAACTCGTGAGATGATCGCATTGAAGTGATAAATCTTCAAAAAGTGAAAAATATGACCAATAAGAACAAAGGAAATAAAAAGCCACATGTGATCTGTCAGTACCTTCATTGTTTTCCGGCTTTGACGTGATACCGCGAAACGTGTCCCATAATTAGGGACGCTCAAGTGAAAGGTGTCGATCTCAGTGAATAACGGTTCTATGTATCTAGCAGTGAAGAAATGTTAATGCAGTGAGGCTCTGAATCGCTGTATTGAGTCCACTTCCACTAGATACTCCGGTAAAATGTTCCAAACAGAGACTAGTTGTGGCTCAAAGCACAGAGTGGGGAACGCGTTTCAGATATGGCATCACAAGCATATGCCAGTGTTCGCGTGTGCTGCATGCCGTTCGCAGACGCAGCCTCAGTATGGGAAGTCATCTACATGTAGAATACGGTGTGGTCGACTCGCACGCGATAGGTGAGCTGTCACAGTTTCTCGCACACATCTTCTTACATCTGTGTAAAAGCCTAGTAGAAACGTGCTGTATTCAGATCTGTTGCGTTTCGCCTTGGAAGATTGAACAGTAGGCGGGCGATCTGTACTCTAGCATTGGTCTGATGATGGAAGAGAACAGGGGAGTGACAACCCCTTTAGACCAGGTGTAAAGGCTGCATTTGGGCGCCACAAGCATGCGCAGTCCGTTATGATTTAACCTATTTGTCTACGGACTTCGTCTACGGACTTCAAACAGCAGCGTAAGAACACGCCCCAGTCCTTCGCGAACGGTGTTGGAAGCAACGGTTGACCACCAAGGGTGTAGGTTCAGGGGGTTACTACCCTTCCCCAGGCTCATGAACACCATTTGGCTGGGATGATTGAAGTGAATTCCTGCAGACTATTTGGAGAAGCTGTTGAGGCCTTGCTGACGGAGGCCACAGTCGTCGAGGAAGGTGCTAATTTTTCTTCATATGTTCAGGTGGCCAGTAGACAGAGAATAATGCAGCAGAAGCCGGGGTAAATCAACGAGGTAGATAAGAAAAAAGTGGGCCCCTGCATTGTTGTTTGGCGCACGCCGCTGGTAGAGGGATACTAGTAGGTCAGGAACCCGTCAACATGTACCGTTCAGTTTTGCTCAAAATGGAAACCTCTGATCTACTGAAGCATTGAGGCACTCAAACTTGTGGAGGAGGATCTCATGGTGTACGTTGACGAATACTATGCTGAAATCAATGTAGATTACGCCAACAGATTCCTCCTGGTTTAGTGTCTGCAACCATTCGTACCACATCATCAGCAAATTAGTAATGTATGAAGGACGTGCCATAAAGCCGTGCTGCATCAGCACTTAGGATTAGAACAGCTGTAGCAAGTCTTTAATCACGGTTTTATCGGCTATGCAGACCAAAATAAGTATAAGAAAAATCGACCGGTAGTTATCTACGTTGCCGGAGGTCCCAGCCTTTCTGAATCGGCCTTACCAATGAGGAATTTCAATCGCCCGGCAGTAAACCTGCTGAACGGGTTAGTCACCTCAGGGAAGATGATGGTGGATAAGAACTTGAAGAACAGTGGGTGAGGCTCGTCAAGCGAAGCAGACACGGTGCCGTCAAGGTTAGTGAGTTGTTGGTGCACCTTCTCAACACCACAAAACAGAATACTGAGCCCATTACCGGCGATACACGTCGAATCCAGTGCAGATAAGTGGAAAATTGAGAATACGAAAGCGAAGTGCGCCGCCAGTGCGGACCCACAGTGATCAGATGAAGTTCCCGGGTCTGCAACATCACCGCGGGCATATCGACGCATCGAAGTATGTCGGATTAAAATAGCGGTGTCGCATCGGGATGCAGAAATTAATGGTTGCGTGTCCACAAGTGGTTGTAGGTTAATTATGTGAACGCAGCCACAAAGACCAAAAGGGCAACTAATAAGAGAAGAATTATCATCGCTCACCGTAGTTGCATAGGTGAATACCCTGCTAATTATTAAATGACCCATTTCGCCAGATCGAGGTGGATTGTTTGCTGGTTTGGACAATAAATCCGTCAACTCCCATGTTAGAAACACTTCCCAAAGAGACTATGGTGGGGGGTCATATCAACAAAGCGTACCGTAGAAACAGCACGTCTTGATGCACTGAACAGATTCTAATCACAATTTAGTATTGGCTATTTTTTGCTCGAATGGACCACGTAGAAGCTAGTCTTGCTAGAAGAGTATTCCTCCTGGTCCGAATGTCTATGTATGTATGGCAGAAAGGCGTCCGCAGTACAGACGCTTAACCGTCGCGAAACCACCACCGGTCGCACGTGGCCTAAGCATACAGCGAAGGTAGCCCGGTCCAATAAGTAGGCCCGAATCCGCGCCATCAGATTACAAGGCTGGCTTGGTATCCTAAAGGCTACGGGCCGACTATGCACATCAAGTAAGGTTCGTTTGTCTCTGCAGTGATGAATGACATATCGCAAGCTATGTCTTCTTTCTGCTTTGACGAAGTGGATGAAGGGGACCAGATGTTTCAAGTTGTGGAAGCCACGATGCAAATAACCAACGACGATGCTGCTGCATGATCATTACCATCATTATACACGTTAGCTAGAGGTGGGAAACACCTCCGCTACTGTGCCGCAATACATAAAGGAAAACGAAAATAAATTCAACAGCTGCATGCCAACCGAGCTGCCAGCAACGGATAGCCATCGTTCCTGTAAACTACCAGCCGGCTACCAGGCAACAAGCAAAACTATTACATAAAATTTTATTACGCTACGAAATGAGATTGAGGTGGGGGCCAAAAGGTATGTGGAGGGACAAAGAAACTCACAGCAGGAACGCCACTGAGGTCGGCTCCTTGCCATATCTGCAAGTGTATCTAGACAAACGTGTTCATCGTCTTTCGGACCCCAACCAGGGAGCCGTGACGCTCCAACCGAGGCCAGCTCAGAAGTGAGTACCTTCATTCCTCTCTATTAACTCATCGTTTGGTCACCCCCTCTCTTCTTCCATCCACACCCCAGGTGAGCAAACAACGCACGTCGCGGGAGTCGGTGGGCTAGCATGAGTAACACGTGGCCCAGCCATCGGAACCTGTTGCGTGAAATGACGGTGCTGAGCGGTTCATTTCCTATTCCTGTGCCGCAAACAAGGCGACGAACGCGCTCGTTGCTCATGCGGTATTCCCACCAGATGTGAGCCAAACTGCGAAGGCACCGGTGGTCGAACGTAACTAGCCTCTTCAGGTCCGCTGCTTTAAGGGACCAGGTTTCACAACAGTACAGTAGGGTCGAACGTACTGCTGCATTGTACACTCTACCCTTTTGGGCGAGAGTGATATCGCGCCGGTGCCATAGGTGGCGAATGTTAGCAAAAGCACTTCGAGCTTAGGATATACGGTTCGTGATCTCCTCTTCAATCCCAAGGGTGCTGGTACAACTTCCCAGGTAGTTAAATTTTTGAACGACTTCTAGCTGATCCCCGCCAAGGGTCAACGTTGGAGGCGGTCCAAACCAAGCTTGGAGAAACCCTTTGCACTTCGAGGGTGCGAAACAAAGCCCGAAGTGACGGACAGCCAATGCTGATCTGTCCAACGCTGCTTGGCACGTTTTGTAGCTGTCACAGATTAGGGCGCTATCATCGGTATACTATAAGTGAAGAACACATTTTCTTTGGAGCAGATCCACACCTAATTCGTGTCCTGTGAACGCGATTTTCACGACTTCGTCAACAGCGAAGTTGAAGGGGAATGGTGACAGCGGGCATCCTTGTCCCACACCGCTGGAGATATTGAAGGGTGGCGACAGCTTGCCGTAAGCCCTCACTCTGCCCGAGCTACGCGCATATAATGCTCGGATAATATTCACATATTTCTCAGGTACATATTTCTTGAGTAGACAGTCCCAAAATGCACGTCTATCCACTGAATCTAATGCACGTTTGATATCGAGGAAGACGACAACGGTGGGCCGCCAATATATGTGACGATACTTCAACAACTGACGCATCTGGCTTTCACGGTGCTCGAAGCTGCATTGTCACCGGATAGGTGCAATGAGAAAGTGCTGCTAGTGCCACCTGAAGGAGATCGCAGCGTGAGCACAGAGCTCGAGTCTTGCAGGCGGGTTTCCGATAAGCAGCACATGTCGATTGAGAGGGTCTCTAATGTTCGGACAAGTGCTGCCTGTTGACCGATTAGAAGCAATGTGCGAACATTGAGGAATGCCAATCTGAAGGAGGATCGAGGGCTCCAAATGGAAGCCGACGAACTGGGCTTGACCGCCTTCTTGGACACGGGCCTGTTGACAGAGAAGTAATGACGCCCCGCGTTCACATGAGTTGAAACTGAAAGACAAGCGACTATTGAAGCAAGGTGGCGGAGTTCCGAGAATTGGGGGGTTGAAAACAGGGGGGAAGAAGTGAAGCTGGAACGGGACGATGAGGGTGAAAAAGCGTAAGAGGGGGAATAAGAAGACGGGAAGGCTTGAGCAGTAGCATCCACGGTACAGTTCAGCCTCATTGCGATGGTTCAGCCTCAGTCCTAGATACATCGTCGGTATAGGTTACGGAGTCGAACAGAAATAATAGCGGATCAACCCCGAAAGAATAGGCATGCAACGTAGAAAAATGAAAGACTGCCGACTATGTTTTCAGGTTACGGATCTTTGCTGATCGCTTCTTTTCGAGGACCTAATCGCATCATTCACAAGGCTAAGTTGCTCGAGCTCAGTTCTGCGTCATTGCTACAGCTTGCACAAGGATTCGTCATAGACTGATCCGCTAAGAATAGTGACCTCTATAGTCGTGAGCTCATCCCAGTAAGTACGTTCGCGTGCACGTTTCGACTCAGAATCATTAACGAACTTACAAAGTGGCATTAGACTACTGCTGTGTTGGTATGCATTGAAAATGATAGTTATTCAGATGGTATGCTTATCAGACTCCAAACGACACATCGGAAACGGCTTTGAAGTTGATGCTGCCACTCGGACGACGGATGCGTCGTTCTCCAGAACGGTCGACTACTGTACTATGTACGCAGCAAACTGAATAATATCGATGGGCTAGGCTAAGCAGCGAATGGTGCTCGCTGGTCCACACTCCCCATTCTATCTGAAAGCTTAAGTAGATAGTGTTTAGTCTTTTCCTGCGCAAGACACCTACTCGTCTACTCATCACGTGGACTCACAACCCAGCAAATTCTCTGTTGTCCCAAGTTGGAATGTCTACTGTAAGTAACCAGTCGAATGAACCATACTGTTTGTGATTACTTCCAAGGAACCTGTTAGTTAGACTTGCCCGATTAGCTGATGAATTACAGTTAACCTTGTTGGTTCGATTGAAACATCGAAGTTAGCTCCACTGGGTCACATTTCCAATGTGTCAGCAACCGCTCAACAACGTGTCTGGGTTCTCGGAATCGACTGGGAAACTAAGTGCGTGGCGAACGATCATGATGTGGCGAAGCTCCAATTAGTGAAGTAGTTTCGGAGAAAATGGATAATCGACCCTTTCGTAAACTCACTGACTTGTTGTGGGAGTAGTTCGACGACCCGTCTGTACCACCTCATGCGATGTCGTCACCATGACTCCTGACCTCGAAGAAATCTAACGTGAGTATGTTACTGATGCCAAACAAGACAACCTCAATGGAGATTGCGTGTGGCGATTCGACAAGACAGCTGGTACTTTAAACCCAGCTGTGTACGTGGAAAGTATAGTCCAGGTAGCTACGGTGTCCATTGACATTCGCAAACCGTCTCACCTAGTTTGAGTCCAATTTCATCGTGATCCACCCGAAATGCACACGGCGCTTTCGCGTTCGGTTTCTTTCTTATGGCTTTTAGTACGTAACAAAGATGGTGGAGAAGGTCGTATGAAACCATATACGGTATAGTGTGGGAACGTGAGTGCATTCTCTACCAAGATTTTTACACTTTCAAATTCCTCAAGAACAACGGGGACACCGGAGGAAATATGTTGATCACTGACAAACAGAAGTGATGCGACGGACGTCAAGATGAAATCCCATGAAGCTGCGACGCATTTTATAAAGGGGAGATCATTCTCTTCAAAAAACACATACAAAAGTGGGAAATGACCAAACTGACAGTAAATTGGTGACCATCGCAATCCAGTAGCAGCGCAGGCGGTTGAGACAGCCAGTTTAGATCAGATACCATCTAGGAAGGGTGCCGTGACAGTGGCTTTAAACATCTCGTGAGAAAGAGTTAGTAGTTTGCAAGTGATGGTGCTGTGAAGCCCGTTGCTAGCCTCAAGTAATGCTAACGAAGAGGAAAGCATAGGATGGATGCATAAACAACAAAGACCCCTACACGCCCCTGGAGAAACTATCAAATGACTGTCTTTACAATGGGCGCGAATGAAAGATGCGAATGGGATGTGTATTCCGAACACAGGCAACATGGTATAATTAAAATCAGCTTAGCAACGTGACACGCGAAACTCAGAAACACTCCACAGACCCTTGTTTGCAAGAGGATAAGACGAAAAAAGTGAAATGACGAGCCACAGGATTATAAGTGCTTCAAAAAACAACCCCAAATTGAGCGTCACTCACCCATAATAATCGACATCGTGCCGGAATCTCAGTGCTCGTAGCTGACGGCGAAAATTTTCAATGTGCCCCTTCAAATCATGCATGTGACGACAATGCGGCCTGAGATCGTCCTTTCGAACGAGACTGAGAGAACTCGGAGTGCGTGCCGCGATCCCAAATACAAATGAACCTATGCAGTAGAACCTAAAATTGAGATGAGCCAAAAGTTAAAAACTCCATGAGTAATAAGACTAGGTAAACAAGAAAAGTACTGGACTATACACGAGGTGTTTATTTTAAAAACACAGTGGCAGAAAGTGGGTCAAAAAAGAGGAAAAGCGATAAGGTAAACGAAGCATAGCTGATAGTAAACAAATAAGAAAAATAACCACAGTCGAATAAAAGAAACATGTCATCTCCGGCCAGAACATCAGGAAAGTATTGCACACAGGCGCACAGTGCTTTCCGCAAAATCTTGTCAGCTTAAAGGCAGAATCGGGAGAAAGACACGAGGTAATTCGAACACAGCGGTTGTGGAATGGAGTCGATCGTCAGCCCAAATAGATCACATTCGGAAGGCGTAAGTCAGAATGCTGCCGGTTTGAGTAGCTTTGTACGATCTTCGCACTACTCTGGGGGCGGTGCACGGCCTCTTTAGTCGACAAAGCCGGAGTGGTGAAAGGCATTCCGGATGAAACCAGTGGCGTATCTTCGATGATTAGTCCGGCCATCTCCACAGAAGCTTCCAGATACTCATCAATTGTTCGTTCCGTGCACATTGCTACAAAAAATCAGAGAATGAAGCCAGGTAAAACCACGTACGGCTTTTCTATTCGAGTATTTTAGAGCAACAAGGGGAGCTGTTCAAAAATAAGCTGTGAAGAGCACACAATCATCCACTTAAATGAACTCATTAAATAACTGAACCAACTACAATGGTCCAAGCAAATACCTCTGGTGGCAGGGAACTACTATTGCAAATTGGTCGGTGCAGGATTGTATGGTATGCTACTTACAGAGGGTAAGTATGAAATATGACCAGTAAATGGCGGTAGGGAAAATATGGAAATCGGAAGGGCCGACGCACAAGATAAGCAAAGTGAATCCTCATCATTATTAGGGGCGTCGGGCTGTTGTGGAACACACGGGTATGAAGAGATGAGTGTCAAAGAGTACTGTTGAAGTGTACACCCGATTGCTCCCCTAAAAAGTAACGAACAGAATCGATGGCTCTTCGAAAAACAGCCACGGAAGACAGTAATTCATCAATCTTAAAGCCAACTAAGTTGGCGATAAGTACAAGCGAAGCGAGTTTCCCCCGACCGCAAGAGAGTACCAAGGTTGGAAACTGATTCGAACGCATTCACGTCGAGTTACCTGGTGTATACAGTGTAACGGGCTACACTGGACTTAAATTGATGTCGTAATCGAACACAGACTGCATATATGCGTTCGTCATCACAAGTAGGTTGAGAGTACTAAGTTTCAGGGAAATTGATTTGGTAAAGGATGCTTGAGCCTATGTGGAAGATGAGTTGTGGCAGGCTGTACAATGCAGCAAAGGCCATGCTCCTCTCACAGGTCCGTATCACACCAACGGTGTCAGAGCCATCTCAGGGTGGTGCGATGGTTCGCTTAACTAAAATATCCATTGAGCATTTGGGGTGGAAGTCAAGTCAGAAGATAGATTGAAAAAGTCACAACGTGCGGACTGTCGCTCCCACTAGACTGGACTTAGCTGCCATGCGTAACCCGGTACGCGGTACATTTTAGTTTGTCATGTAATCTCGCAGGGCCGGGTCGATATGCCGTCCGCTCTAGATATCACGGAACGTCAGAACGAAGTCGCTGGTTAATTAGCTATTTTAGACGACGGTATCACTTCCGATGGCCGAAGTACCATAAATCAACGAGCGGGCCGCGTAGCTTTTCAAAGCTCCGAAGACAGTGGTGCAATAGTTTCTATTCGATAGTGATGTGCCTCGCTCAGATTCATCATCGTATATTAACTGCCGGGTTCCCGACGACGTGATGCGCTTACGTTGGAAGGTAGCACTGCCGACAATAAGGTTGTGGCTCACGCACAGTGATGAAGACGGATCCTTTAATATCCCAAGCGCCGACTGGGCTCCAATAAGCGGTTACATACATCCGCTCTTATGTATATTGTGTTACGTAGCCTCAGGTAACAATATAGAGTCAATTTCGGCTCGCTCCACTCCGCAAGCCACACAGCATTCGTACTACAAACCAAACAGGACAAGTGCGGAATCATCAGAGGCACTAACTGACCGTTCGATTTTGTGTGGGTGACGGCAGTGATTCGCCTTTGTATTGGATTCGACGTTCGAGAACAGTCATAAAGTTGGTCTGGTTGCACAAGCAGTGACACCACAGAACGCGAAAGTGTTGCCAATGGCGGATGAGTGGGGCAGAAAAGTGCTTCTGTGGTCTCGCGCTGTAGTGAATCAGGTGCTCTGCTTGCAATCTCTACATCACGGGCCCGCGTCCGCCTTTCTGAATGGGTTTTAGCGCCCCAGCCGTGTTCCAATTGACGCACAACCGTTTGCAGCTGTATGCCGTCGAAGCAGGAGTCCTATAGATACCAGTTTTACTTTCAGAGCGAGGGCTGAGGCGCAGTCAACTGGGTCGTAATGTTAAGAAATAAGACGAAATACAAAAGGGAAAGCAAAAATTGAGCTGGCCAAACACGATAAACAAAAGTCGATTACTAACCAATGAACCGGATAAATGGCCGCACATCGCCCTCATTGGCCATTTTCAAGCGCTCATAATACGCCGGGCGGTCCTCGACCTTGATGATAGCTGGTGGAAGGCCAGCGCGCATCAGGATAAGATTCATTAATAATCGAGCTGTCCTCCCGTTGCCGTCATAAAACGGATGTATGTATACCAGCTTCCAATGCATCAGAGCAGCCAGTTCGATCGGGTGCACGTCCTCTACCTCTTGCGAGTTTAACCACGAAATGAGCTCGTGCATCAGATGAGGAACCGCGTCGGGTGGTGGAGGACGGTGGGCAGCGATGAACACCTGTGGGTGCGGAGGGCAAACAGAGGATCAAATGAGGGTCATCACTTTCCGGTGAAAAAAGCAAGCTACGTGACCAATAGACAAGTGAAAGGAACATCAAAGCGAAAGTTGAATGACCTGTTGATAACTCATGCTCACTTTTACATTTCAGAATTATCTGTCACGTTCAAGAAAAAATGGCGTCAAAGGCAGCAGTGACCAACCGAATAAGAGACATCTTCTACTCTGAAAATGGTGGGCATAATAAGACAGCTGGAGCAGCAGACCAAGTTGAAAAAATTAATGCGATCTCCAACAGAAACGGGAATTGGCACGCTTTCTACTCATTCGATACACACCCGGACCAATGTGATGACGAAATACGACGCATGAGAGTAATTGGTAGGTAAAGGTGGCGCAAAGAAATTAACGCGGCATTCCATGCCCACTTTCAAGGATGGCCGTTGTGGAGAAACATTCCCCGTACGCTCCAGAAAACAGCGGTTAAGCACCCTATGTTCCCTTGACTAGATCCAAGGGGACTACCAATTCTGTGCCTGCACACAAGATAGTGGACAAAAACGGAATTAGCAGCGATCACATGAAAATTAGTAGGGCCAATACCTTCTGATACTGCACAGTGCAGTCAACGGCACGCTCATTTAAATTCTGTTCACTTCCGATGGTGCAGTGGCGAAGTCTTAGAACTCCCACAGACGTCGTCAGGGCACTACTTCTCGAAGAATGTGCTGTTACTCATTCGAACATATGCAAAGCATAACACAGGAGAATCTCACTGGTATCCAAGAAAACTGCGTTGAGATCGTTATGCCGTTGCCTGTGGTTCCGATTCAATAACATAAGCTCCCGTTAGATTTCTTCGAGATTATGAGTCATGGTAGCTACCTCATACGAGGTGGAACAGGATGCCGTCGGACTGTTCCCACAGCAAGCTAGCGAGTCTTCGAAAGAAATGGTAGTCCATTTTTCTCCGAAACCAATTCACTAATTGAATCTTCGTCAGATCATGAGTGTTCGCCATCCACTTATATTTCCAGTAAATCAAGAGAACCTAGATTGCGCTGTTGAGGGGTTACTGACATTTTGGAAACGATGACCCAACCGGGCTATCTTCAGCATTTCAATACAACTATTAGGGGTATCTGAAGTTCATAAACTAATCGGATGAATTTAGCAAACCGGCACATTCGAAGCAATTGCAAACGGTATCCGATTCATTCGACTGGCTAGTGACCAACAGTAAACAATCCAGTTTGGATCAATGCGTCGTTTGGAGTCCGAGAAGCGGACCATCTGAATAACTATCGACGGTCAACCAGACTGCATTTTCGGCGCATATCAACACAACAAGTGTCTAATGCCACATTGTAGGTTCGCTGATGATGCCAAGTCGAAACACACAAGTGAAGATACTTACGGGGATGAACTCACTAAGATAGAGGTCAATATTCTTAGAGGATCAGTCTATGACAAATACTTGTGGGAGCTGTAGCAACGATGCAGGACTGAAGCAGAGCGACTTAGCTTTGTAAATGATACGGTTGAGTCAAAGGGCAGAGGTGAAAAACACTGCGAGTAAATCTCTCAGCTTTCGAAAGGAGCAATCAGAAAATATTCATCGCCTAAAAGCAGTCAGCAGCCTTTCATTGTTCTACGTTGCATAGTTATTCCTTCGGAGTTAATCCACCAGAAATTACCTTCGAATCCGAAACCTATACCAACGACGTATCTGTGACTTGTGTCACATAGGTCAACAGACGCCAGTGGCTCTCATCCTGTAGCTCCCTGGAACAGAAGCGTGTTGCGTCATTCAAATATACTCACAACCGTTGTACCCTCAACAATCTTTAACCGTTAGACTTAGATTTGAATGACTACTGCTTTGCAGTCTGTATCTTCAGTGATGCTGTTCAAGGACTCTCTGCTGGTAGCACATCACACAGCTAAAACTGCAGTCAACGGTAAGTGAGTTTTAGTAAGACTGCATCCTATTGACCATGAGGTCCCCACTCTGACGAAGAGAAAACCAACAGAACCTTGAACATTAATTGTGCTCATCAACCAAAAAGAAACATGTGCAGATGTCTCAAGACATTTGAGTCGAGTATAATGCTGTCTCTTACGGCCGGGCTTTGAGGAAGACAGGTTTAACGAACCATCCACAACACCGTAGAAAGGGGTTCAGAATGGCTTTATCGATTTTAACCACTAAAACGCTGGAGATTAGTCGCTTTCATGTACTAAGGAGTGCCATACAGTGCAGGTCAGTGGTTGGTAGAAGCATGCAATCCAACGCATCGCATCAAGATTCAAGCCTACATCAATGAGGTCTGAAAGGCGGCACGCAATAAATCGACTGACCCAAAGTAAAATCACAATAAACCGACCAGTGCATAATTTGTAACAGTATTCCCGAGTGAACAACCGACTGAGAACAATGAATTGTGTCCGCACGTACCTGAGTTCGTCGGAAACGTCCAGCTTCGGAGGGATCAACAAAAGAAAGTATGTGCCGATGCAGTTGCATTACGGTGTCTAGACTGATGGGGGTCAGTCGACCGAGCAACAGAGTAGCGTTTATGTACCGTAAGGCTGCATCTAAACCGAGAACCTGGAAAAAATAAAAGTTGAAGATGATAAGGAAAAAGAAAATGTGCTATGCTGGTAACACAGTGCAGCAGAAAGTCCCACTGTGTCAGTAGTTAATTTCAATGACCAACATCTATGCTGTTCCACGATGAAGTTGGTTCATATTGCGAGCAATTTTAGTTGTAAAGCTTTCCAATTTAGTTAAGGAAGAGACAAGCATGCTTGCATGATAAGAATTTTATCGGTGTACAGTTGAAGCTGCTTTCGGTAGGGACTAATTTGACCGAGATATGGCATGAAGAGTTCAATCTTAAGCAGCGCACGTCTCTGTTGAAATTCTCAAAAGAATGCATGAAGGGTGTACGACCTATGTTAGTAATTAGAGCGAACAGTGTGGATCACAAGACGAGTCACTGGGATCCATCAAGATCAAGCTTATAAGAGCAATCTTTCTAAAAAGCAGTAAGATTTGTGTGCGAAGATGAGTGAGATAAATAAGTAACAAAAGTAGCAAAGTACTTTTCCAGATAGGGCGGGTAACAGTAACCCATTGAAAAGAGGATGGCTATTTCGAATATTTAAGCAGGAGCCAGAAGTAGTTCGACACTATCAATTATATTATATGTAAAATCCAACTACCTATTTTGACCAACTGGGGACTTCTTCTACCACTGGAAAAGCAGCATACATATTCCAAGTAACACACATCCCGCAGGAATCGTACGAGGATATAGAAGGGGAGAATAAAGAGTGAAGAGTGGATATTCGGAAAACGGGTTTGCGATGATGAGATTGGACCTTAATGTGATGCGATGGCTGAGGTACCGCCCCTAAGATACGCAGGGTGGCACTTCCAAGCCCCTTCAGAACCGTTCATACCAGACGGGTCCATGGTCAGACTAACCATCACGCAATCTCTTCGGAGGTTAGGGAGACGTAGATGACCCTCATCCTTTAAAACCTCGTATTGGCAGAAGGGACAAGATGTAAAAAGCTCATAGTTCGAGTGGCATAGAGCACAAGCGCCACGCATTGTCTCCGGTGGTGGGAAGGCACCGTCCGCTTTAAGCCAGGCAGTTCCCGGTCAAATGGGTGCCAACCCACCAACTCCCAAGTGCGGCTGGTCGTACTCGCAGATGCGTAACATGGCTAGCGACATCCGGTTCCAGATTTGACTGTTACTGCGACTTCCAAAGAACAGCTACAAGGCGTTAGTGCCTACAGAGGAATCATGGGTGGCCTGCGAGGCACCACCCACAACTCCATCCATACATTACATATCCGGTTGTAAACCCGAAAAAATAAGACCGGATAGTATGTGGATGCGAGCCAATTTTCATCAAGGGAGCCGACCAACACTTCCACAATATGCACAGCGGCAGCATTCCTATCCATCCAACTTGGGAATCATGCATACCCGCAGTACGCAAGGTGGGGGCTGGGCAGTAGTCTGTTCCACATTGGATGGAATCACTCTCTGAGCCTAGCACGATCACCAGGACCGTGAACCCCGTCAAAAAAGACAACGATTCAGTCTGCTGGAGATAGTAATTGAGGTGGAGGATGTTAGAAAGGTGGGAACTTTGTCAACATTCACGTCAAGCGCAGCCGCATCGGGGATTTCAAACAACTCACATAATTTGAGGAAGAATAGACACGCAAAATTGAGACGGAATATGCAGCAGAATAACAGAAATGATAAGAGCAAATAAGATGGAATGCTTTTAATCCTGATTAAGATCTAATTTAAGTGTAAGTTGGTCCAGTTCAACCGCGGTGAAGAAGCGTAGTGTACGCAGCATCAACCACAGCATGAAGCGCAAGATGTGTAGCATACTAAGGTCGAAAAACCCATGTGAATCGTACCAAATCCTCGAAAGATGTGGGTGACAGACCTCAAGCACATCTAATTACACACCTAAGCTAGACTTGCTCCCAAATACCTTATCACGACCTGCCTCAGCATATAGTAGAAGCGAACACAGTGGCTAAATTCAAGATGCTACTAGACCAACAATTTGCAGAGGCAAAGTACAAAGAGCGAAACGATAAATAAAAAGTTCATGTCCGAAAACGACGAAAGATGCAGCTACACAGAGAAACCTCTACTCGCTGCTTCCCACCAGTTCTCAGTTCTCACGCGACAATTAACCTACCGCAACCAGCCCCTGATTCCCTCGGCAACACCGTTTCTGGGTGAAAACGCCCATTGATTGATGTTCACCTTTGTAAATGCCTTTTTACCCTCGTCAGCCTGGCAACACGGTGCTATAAATACGGAGGTGTAGAATTCATGTTCGCCTTTCTTCTGAGTCAGTAGAAGCGCTCTTGTCGAATGACTGTCTGCTCTCTCCCTCTCGGTTTAACGGTGCAGCTCTGGGATTGCGCTCGCCCCGCGTGTGGGATAATCGCCGGTAAGATCTGCGGGGCGCAAGCGGTCTGGATTTCGTGCAGCTACTCGACGCGTGGGGAACGACACCGACAGGCGTTATAGTCTTGGTTAAGCAGCCTACTTAACATAAAATTTTTCCAACCGACCAACCAACGATGACGAACAGCAAGTCCTCATCAAGGGATTAAATTACAACTGCAGAGATGCGACAGCTACTGAATTCTTAGCAGCATTTGTAAACGTTCGACAACGCAATGGGTTTGATAAAGAGACTCGAAAGCATATAAGAAACACAACTGTTCCTGATATAAGGCACAACAAGCAATAAAACACTAACCAGACAAGAAAAAGAAGCAATGGATACCCTGAAGTCTGAGGAAACTAGCATTATCCTACAAGCTGACAAGAGACGAATGACTGTCATGATGGATAGGAAGGATTACATTGAGAAAGCCACACGACTCTTGAATGATACAACAACCTACAGGTGCATGGACACCGATACAACTTTGTAGCTGGCAAACAAAGTCAACAGAAACTTGAAGCAACTTCAGGAATTGAACCAAATCATGAAAGATAAGCGCGACAGGATGAGAGCCTGAGACTCGAACATCGCGCAATTTTACGGACTCCCAAAAGTGCACAAAATGATCCATCGTTGCAGCTTATCGTGTCTCTCTCGGGAACACCCACTTACAACCTGGCGAAAGAAATGTGGAGACGTCTGAAACATTTGACCTGTGGATCGTAATATTCCATGGCCGATGCCCAGCAGTTTCTGCAAAAAATCAAAGACCTACGGACAGATAAGGATGAAACAATGAGATCATTCGACGTGACTGCACTCCTCACGTCTGTTAATTTGCAGATAGAGATATCGGTCATCACAGAACGGCTGAACGACATTGAACAACAAATCGGAAAGAGAACGACCGAAAATGTATGCAAACTACTCCTTTTGGGTCTGTCGACCGATTTCTCATTCCGTGGAAGGAATTATGAGCAATTGAAAGGCGCACCAATGGGACCATCTGTGTCAGGACTCATCGCAGAGATGGTTATGCAGAAATTGGAGGAGGATGTACTGCCACTCATTAATCCGAAACTGTGGGTTCGGTATGTGGACGACACCTTTGTGATAATCAGACGCCACCGAATAACAGTCGCACAACAACTATTGAATAACATCATGGAAGACATCCAATTTACAATGGAACCGGAGCAGGAAAGCCAGCTCTCTTTCTTGGACGTATAAGTAACAAGAACCATGGAAGGCAACCTGCAAACATCAGCCTACAGAAGGCACACACAGACCAAATTCTGAATTTTAACAGCAACCACCCGAAATGCCACAAAGTGAGCTGTGTGCGGACACTGTTTCGCAGGGTGCAAACACACTGCAGCACCATAGAAGCAAAGCAAAGAGAAAGAAAAGCACCTACTTAAATGTTTTCAACTCAATGGAGAACCACGAAGCACCATCCGAAGGTGTCTGAAGAACAACAACATAAACCTACAGTCTACGACAACAGCAGCAGCAGCAACAACGGAGAAACGGGTTATTCTGCCTAATTTGAAGAACATATCGGAAATGGCAGACAGACTATTTAAGCAACATCATCTCCTCGTGGCAGACAAACCAACTGCCACGTTGAGAAAACACTTTCAAAACCAAAAGAAAAACTCCAAGCGCATGAACAACGCAATGTGGTGTACAAAATACGCTGCTGAGATTGCGAAAGGGATTAAGTCGGCCAGACGGGAAGAGAATTGTCAACAAGGATACAACGACATAAAAGTGCCTGTGCAAAGCAGTATGCATCGTAGCTAGTTTCATTACAAGTAGATGAAGAAGGATATAGCTTCGATTGGAGCAAAACAGAGGTCCTAGCATGGGGTGAAACAAGAAGAGAAAGGGGATTCCTGGAAGCTTGATTCTCAATGAAAAACTCGATCAACATGCGCGTCGACATCGATTCAATATACCAAGCACTTCGACAGAAAGAATATTTTATCACGCAATTTAAGGTAGAACAAATCGGGTGCCGACTTTAGTCGTGGGGAAAGTGGATAGAGGTCACGGGACGCAAATCGAGACTGCCAATTTCAAAAGTCACCTGCAGGTCGATCTCGGATGGACGATTCATTAAGTAAGATTGTACGCCGCATCTCACTGCAATGAGGATGCCACCTCGAATGATGGTGAAAGGGTTACAAAAAAATCTGCCAAGCTCGGAGGAAAAATGAACAACTGAACCGTTGAAGGGTAGTCGCAGATGAACAAGCATTTTGGTACAGTAAGAACGATCGGCTGTTCCCTTTCCGCGGGGCAGCTATGAAACCTAATAAACGCTTCTGGGTAGCCATTTGCCCGTAGGGTCTGCGTTATGAATTGCAATTCAGCCTCGATGCATTCCGTACTGCATATCCTGCGAGTTCGATTGAACAAGGTTTTGACAAGGCATCCTTTATATTGAACAGGTGCAAAACTGCTGTAGTGCTTATACTGCCGTTCATCGCAACTCTCCCGCGTGTATAGAGCAAGTGATCCCGCAGCTGCTCACATCGATACAACTGGCTCTTCCAACAAGCGTAGTTTCATTTCCCATTGGTTTTTTTAATATCCGCACTCCAGGTCAGATAGGCCAGCAGACAGCACTAATTCTCACTTGTCATTTGGTATTTATGTGTGCTGTCTGAAAAAGCGCATGCAAAGTAACAGCGTCATGAAGAAGCTTCGACTTCGTGGTTCCGAATTTCATAAGGATGACTACATTCATCACGTTTGTGGCGATACTGAGTCAATGGCTCAAGGTATTTAGGATGTTAGTACCGCCTTCAACAAACATCCTAGAGACAATCTGCCTGACTGGATGCCAGCGATCAGCTAAAGGGGTGCGGTTCGGTTCCGGAGCTTTATTGGGGTTACTAAGCAACAACTGAAGACAAGATGCGTTTTCATCGCATCCGTTTATGCTCCTAATGACTACAGTTTGGAGGAAAGCAAAGGCGAACTATGGTCCGCTTTCATCTCTTCTCCGCGCGGCGAAAAATACTGATATCGTGACTTTTGTGGGTTGTGATGGGGGCTGGAAATGCTGTAATGCCGATCGAACGTCACAGGCCAGACCGATAAGGAATGAGCATGTTGCCGGAAGCAGATTGGTCAGCCAAGCAGGAAATAGTTGGCCCGTATTCGCGTCCACCCTGCAACTATCCACTGGACGTGCAAGTGACCAATCAGGCGCCAGCAGGCGAAGGAGCGCATACTCGTGCATCTTAAAGCCAAGCCCTGTGGCAATGAACCGAGATAAGAAGCGCGCGGGCCCAATCCTGCCAATCGTACATCCACTAAGAAAGTCAAGGCGATTTTATACAGAGTGAACGTAGCAAGCAAGCATAAACCAATGGAAAGGGAGCCAGCGACACAATGCAAGTAACAGGGATGAGCCATTGAGACCGACTGTGGTAAATAGTGTAGATTACAAATATTCGAGGGTAATCTTAATAAATGAGTTCATGATCGCGGCCCAGTCTTCTTGCTTCCCGGAGGGCTACACGACACTGGTGACATGAATACCCGAGATTCACCTTGCGGACTCTGAAGAATAATTAAGTGACCGCTTCGAGGTCGACGCATCTTGGACTGTCATTGGTGGTTGATACCCTTTAACTAGTTGGCGACCACAATGGTTATATTAGCAACACGGTTTTCCAGCACAAACGCTCGCATCATGTCACATGGAAGCCACCGAATTTTTCGATTACGTGGACGCAGATTAATCATTGTACCAACAACCATGGATGGCACATATCAGTCCAATGCTGTCAATCAATTTGGAGCAAGCACCTGGTTTCCGACCATGCCCTAGTGCGCGCATGCGTAGCGTCTACACTACCCACCTCCAAGAAGTGTCTAATTTCTAAGTTTCCCACTTGTAACTTGAACTCACAATCCGCAGTTCATCAATAACACTAAGAAGTAGCCCACCAATCGTCAATGATGTATGAGGTTTATGAGCCGAATGCGGACTGGAATTGTCTCGACCACAACATGAAGTATGCTTTTGACACCTGGAATACAATCAACTTGAGATGTTAGAACTATAAGAGGATCTCTGAGACACCGGTCAGTTTGATCGAAGCACATAAACAACTACCAATAGGTACTGTGTTTCCGTGTGTGCGTAACGCCCTGAAACGACGACTGAAAAGGAGTCTTCGAATTGACCGGGTAGGCTGGCGGAAGACAAAGAGCAGTAAGATGGAGAAAGTCAGTGCTATTGGGAAAAGCCGAGTGTTGTTTCATCTCATCCGGAACACTGGTCCGAAAAAGCCATCAGTTAGTGAAACCGGAAAACATACTCGCACTCGAAGCGGAGTGTTTAGCCGATCAAAACACATTAATATATATCTGTATATGAACCATTTGCTGTTCGAAGCATTGTAGTGAGGCGCATTAGACCAAGCAGAAAATAATGGAGCGAGCAGTAGTTTCTGAGAACCGAAAGAGCACAAGTAGGCAAACTCGAAAATTTAAACAATGCAAACGACTTTTTTGATAAAATCTCGAAAAGCAGGTTATTTTCAGAGGAACCGGCTCCTGGAACGAGGAAAAAAGGGTGCCGGCAACGGATTTTGCGAGCACATCATACTCTCTGACTGTCAGTCGGAGAAGCTCTGTTCCAGGTTTCCCTTATCCAGATGTGATTCAATAGTTCGACACAAAGAGCACTAAGGAACGGATCAGAGCATGAATGCCAATGCGAATTTGGCTTGGGGCTGGATACATACGGTGTTGGAAAGATCAAAATAGATATGTTTACACATGTGTTTCGACCACCCAATGTGATCTATCGGAAACTAGTGTCTGGTTCGTTTGCACAATATTGGTCAAAAGCCATCAAGCCTAAGAGTGGTGGTGTCAAAACATTGAACAATAATCGTCCTTTCACCCAAGCGGAGACAAGTTGCACTCATATAGCTAAGCTTATAAACCATAAATTGTTATCTTACGTCAGTGAGACATCGAACTCCCCTTAATTCAATAGGAAGAAGATGCATAAACTTAGTTTGTATGATACTTGGAAAGTAAAATGTTTAGTGTCGATGGTGGTGAAATTACTTGGAAAATGCTCGATGAACTGTGAAGGTAAGCAGGTTATCGCAGCAAGAAATAGTTGTCCTTCCGAGATCATAACACACTCGATATTTAGAGTATCCAGTGCTTTTCAGCCATAGCAAGCGAGCAATAAATCCAAACGCTTCGTCCGATTGATCAATGTACCAAGTTTATCATCCAATGTCCAAATTAGTTTAGCACACGTAACGAATGCAACCGCAACATACAATCACTATTTCTCCATCGGAAATATTCGGTATAACGACAAGTCAGGGCAGATGGACCGCAGACACCGGAACTCAGATCTTGTTTACTAACCAAAATAAACGAAGTCTAATGTCACATAGAATACGTATTAATGTATGAAAGAACAAGAATCAACAGAGGCTAAAGTCAGACCAATGGTACATTCGGTGAATAATTTTCATTTAAGTACACTACTCGAGAAACCGAAATAATGCACGAAAATATTTCACAAGCGTCGTTCAAGAAAATACGACAGGAGAGTATGGTAAAATCATCCAATTGACGTAGCTACCATGCCATGTAAGTGGTACTGTTTAGAAGTCAAACTACGTGGGCCACCAAAGAAGTGCTTACTTCGTTTTGTTCCATCAGACTCTTTCCTCCCACAGCAAGGCGGGTTTCCAATATCGATCTGGTCTGAGCTAACGTAAGCGTATTACCCTCGATTGCATTGGTGTGATATATGTGCTTGAAATAATGCTCAAACTTGGCTTGCCGCAGACCCGCGTTCGTCTCAGGGATCTGGTAAAACTGCCTAACTTTCAAGTCGATTACATTGAAGCTGAAAAGATGCAGAAATCTTGCGGTTATTTTATAACGTTAAAATCTGGCTGGAGGTGAGTTAATAAAGTAGCAATAATCCGACGATTGTCTAGCGAACCTGAGGTTTGGAAGGCACGGCATAAAATGCGCGATAAGCTCATGAGCAAAACATGAGGAGTTCGCTCCAGGTTTAGTAACAGGAAGAAACTGCGACCCGCATTTAGAGCCAAACTTAGTAATGCTCGCTCTTTCGAAAAGTTACCACACATATTCGTCCATCAAGTATTGAGAGAACTTTGCTTTAGCTAGTCAGGATGCACAAGCTGGTTTAGACACAAATAATGAAGTATGGCGCCCCGGTTGGGTGTCGTCGCAGTTTCCAGACTGGGGTCTAAGCGAAGAAATCGGTACGACTCTCAACCGGCACGAAAACCCTTTTCAATGTCACTCCTTGGCCTGGATGCCCGTTGCTGGCGTTGAGCTGTGAGTGGGTTAAAGCTAACCACGACGTAGAATAGTGAAGGCCGTAAGGCCTTCTCGTCAATGTCTCAAACCAGTGACACGTGGAAGTGCGGTGGTGACGAGGCGCAGGCGTCTGAAGTTTAATATTTACGTCGAACATTTGGAATTTAGGTAGTCCTTCCCTTATCCGTCATTGGTATGGACAGTTTCTCGCTTATAGCCGTATGAGAGTGAAGTAACGAAGTAATCCGTTAAGAAGGTGATTGTCACATCGCCACCGACTGTTCATGCCCCAAGGACCGCAAGAAGTACACGAAAATGAGCCAGAACCGATTTGTTTGCATGAGAATACTGCTTTCTTATATAGGGTAAAATAGTTTGTGAAGCAAAACTACTAAAGCATGTTGGAGTCAACTAATACTTCAGGAAACAACGAGTAATACGAGTGAATGATAAGTAATAAAAGGAGCCAATCATGCGAGTCCGAAGAAACGGCATTAGCGGAAATAGACCCCTGAGATAGTGTCTATCGTGAACGATTTAGACCAGCCAATCGAAGCAAAGGAGTGATGCTTTTAAATAGATGTCAAGAAACAAACGATGGCGTAACGAAAGCAGGCGACTAAGAATTGTAAAAGTAAAAAAAGATTAATCGCCAGCAGTACGCCGTGACGGCGTTTCGCCGCTACGCGACCACCACCAATCGCGTGCGTGCTGAGTATATCGCAAGGACGCCCACCCCTACGTGGATTCGAACCGGTGACCTCATGGTTGCAAACCAGGCACGTTGACCATTCGGTCAACGGTCGGGAATTGAAGCAAAAAGTGTATGTCCATTGAACATCCCTCTAACGATGATGATGTTCATCCCTGTAGATGTGAGGTAGCTGCTGCGTAACTAAATCACGAAGTTACGACAGGCATCCATAGACGCGCTGTTATTGTTTTATGGAGGTGAGATATCGGGTCATACGTCGAAATCAGCGCGTACAGCGTTGAGATTAATCGGATGGTAAGGTTTAAATCCTGATTGATCGAAAGCGCGCCTTGAAGAAGCAGGAAATAACTCTTCGGTCATCGGCACCGGTAAAGCGGTGGCCCGTAGTCTTAAGGATCACGAGCCTGCCTTGTAATCCGAGGGCGTGGGTTCGAGCCTGCGTAGGGACCGGGCGACCTTCGCAGTGGTAGTTGCTCAGAAGCAAAACGTCGGTACCGCGTACCGTCGTACTGCTGATTCCATTTTGCCCTCATCCCAGACGAAACAGAGTAGAAGTGAAGTTACAAAATATCATCCAGCACCGCAATGGGTTGTCTATCGAAAATCACACGTCTAGGACGTCTTTCGCATGTCTACACATCTCTTACATCAGTGAGTTTCTTACAAACACTTCGCTTGGTTGGATGAAGATTCAGCGCCAAGAAAGTGGCCGAGTGACAAAATCGGACGGCAGCGCGCTACCTCTGATGAGGAACCAATGAATATGTGGCCGTACAATCGGAACCCATGTCCACTAATTTACAAGGACATTCGCTTTTGTACTACGTTTTTCAAGCCCCTGAAGGGTACTATTGCTTTGAAGTTCACACGTAGCTGTTTTCAAGCTGGCTATCGGTTTTTCGCGTTGTCACTAATGCCTTCATGTTATGGTGGCGTAGGATGAAAAGAATGCCAACGCACGCTAAAGCTCCAACAATGACTAATCGGTTGACAGATCGCCTCTCGTGTTGCATAAACCAGTAGGGGGGGGGGGCGTTGCCAGTTAAGTCGAATGAGGCAATAAAAAGAAGCGATTTAGTTAGTCACTACATGGAGTAAAAATGTCGATAGCTATTCAGGACGGTGTGTTAACCGTAGGCTGCGATAATCGATGTAAACGTTGCTCGGAAGCATGAAGGCAAATTGTGATGGCACCGATAAATGTCACTTACCGGCGCTGATCGACCTCTTCGACAAGTGGCATCAATCGATCCTTAGAGCGACCTGCTCTATCAAATCCTGGGTTGACTGTAAGGGCACGAGTGTACATGTGATCTGCGGCATATAAAAGTTCATCGATGTCACTGAAGGAGAAAGAAGGAAATGGGGCCAATGACTTTGAGCTTGAAGGTGAACCGTTGTCCTGTTGCTGTCTGTTAACTACCCATGATCCCTCTATAGCTTCTCCAAGTGCGACGAGTATATCAACATTGTCTGGGTCGAGGCGAAATGCATGTTCTAATAGCTTCCTCGCTTTAGAAAGTTGTCCAGAGTTCTGATGAAATTCGGCCGCCTTCAACGCTTGCAAGGCTTCTAACTGCTGTCCTAGAGTTAAATCGGTCCAAACGTTAAGACACGGTTACCTGTTGACGCACGATTCCTTTGATCGCTTAGTCCGATGAAAGACGGATAGGAACCTGAGGAGCTCCGGTGAAGGCGAACAACCTCATTGATTAAGCGATGGTAAAGTGCGAGGTCAAAGTTGTTTCCGGAATGCACAACATTCGGTTTTAACAATTTCAACGAGTACGAAGAAGGTCGCGTCAAACGAGTTATCACGTAGTAAAGCGTGCTGGATTCATAAACTTCTCTAAAAATGCAGCGCCCACGAAAATTTTCCATATTGTGTAGCACAATAATCCAAATATCAATGGGCAGTATGGCCAGAAGTAACAACATTGACATGATAATGCATAATAGCCGTGAAGGAGAAAACATTATTTGCGATTGTAGCACAGATTCCTTAGATGTTTTTTAGCTGGAAGAAAACGGAAGGTTGGGAGTAATTACTGGCGACTGCAATGATACGCGGTCAAAGATAAGTAGACGACGAATGCGACACCATAGATAACGCATGCGTGAGTACAGCGTACATTTGCAAAAACAGTACAAAACGACAGTGGGTTTCTATAAGATTAACCAAAGTTCACGTCTGCGTTCAATAGGATGACGATCCGTTCAGATGGCGACTTTATGCTCCTAACTCGACGGCACACACCTTTATAAAAAAAGACAAGATACGGAAATGGTGTCCGCAATCAGATAACTGTTCGTGCGACAGTCACCAGTCATAAGCCCCATCCGGAAAGACCTCGGCCACATTTTCAGTGCCTTAACATCGATTATAGCTTATGCGAATGAGAGTGTGGTAGTAATAATAATACTGTTTCAACGGATTTTAATAGCGGAGAGAAGACAGAGATTGCGATGTCAACATTTCGATTGTTCTCTTCAGTCGCAACACGAGCAGAAACACAAATGATTACATACATGGAAAAATAAGCAACACCACTCAAAATGTCACAGTTAAGACCATGGCAACCGAATTGATTGCCGCAAGAGTTTCTGTACACATAGCACAGGTTGATCGGCCTTAATTAACAATGCCTCACTAATTGCCAGTATTATCAGGTTTTTGTTACCTAATAACACTGAACGCTGTCTCAGGGTTCACATGATGACGGGCTGCTATGAGGTGCTTGGTGACAGACAATGCCGGGCTCCGATTAATCTTCAGATCCGTCTCAATTGGTATCCCGTGCCATCGGAACCACACTGCACATACAATGCGAGACATCGCTGTTACTGTCCCGGAGTTATTCACAATATTGACTACCTTGAGCCCCTATAAATCAGCTGGTCTTGACAATGTACGTCCCCCCATCGTGAAGCCAATAGGAGATATTCTCCAGCATCCAGTTAAGGAATGGTTCAATATGTCACTTCAGGAAGGTAAGCTACCACGAGACTGGAAGTAAGTGATCATAGTCGCAATCCACAAGGGGGTCTAAATCGGCTTCCCCCCCCCCCAACTACAGGCCAGTGAGCTTGACCAGCGCCTTGCTTAAATGTTTGGAAAAGCTCATAAGGAACCGGATCTGTAAGCACTTGGCCAAGCACAACCTAATTAGAGCAGAACAGCATGGTTTCATCAGGAAGAAGTCGTGCTTTACTAAATTATTGAGCGTTTTGGATGACATTATTCAATGTCTCGATAGAGGGATGTCGGCAGAAGTATGTAATCTGGACTTCTGACCCAATGAGCCACCGATTCTTACTCTAGGAATTAACGTGCTTTGGGATGCTCTCCAGACTGTTAAACTGGGTTTCAGAAGTTATACGTGGAAGTTTTGTGTCAAAATCGCTATTACGAGCTCTAGTGTAAGCAGGGCTTATAGTTGCGTCCCCCAACGCTCGGTACTGGGCCCCCCCGATGTTTATTAAAGACGCAGCAACTATGGAACGGTGAACTTACAGTTCAGACTTCCTCGGGGTCTCTGACACTGCAGATTACTAGCCGAACACGTAATCCAGAAATCACCACTGTTGCAGCAGCGAGACAGCTTCCTTGTGGCTTTCACTGCCACGCGTCATAATCAGCCATTAACCCGCAGATAACTCAGCACCATACATACCTTAAACAGGCAATCCGATAAGGAGACGGCAGCAGACGCGCCGCTGATGTCTACTGCGAACCATGTCCTGCAAAGTCTCGAGCCAAGCACAAGGTGAGTCACGTGGACTCCAACCCGGAAGGCGAGACGGACCAACGGCACCCAGTTTGGTCGTCAGTGACTTCCTTTGCCGCTGCCAAGTCAACTTCTGTCCACCTCGAGCCTTGCGCCATCCTACACCTGGTAGACTGAACAAGGCCCTCCTAGGTAAGCGGTGACCAGGCATGCGTAGCACGTGCCCGAGCCAACGTAACTTATTCAGTGCTATCTGTTGTTCTAGGGAGCTAGCATGATCATCACCACCTAGTACTCGCCTACGCACATCATCGTTGCGGACACGCTGGTGCCATCCGACACCAGCTCTGCTTCGCAAACAACGATGATCAAAGACTTGAAGACGCCTCAGATCTTCAGACCGAAGAGGCCAAGTTTCACTACCATACAGCAGAACGGCCCTCACTATGGCCTTGTCTACCCGCCTTTCAGACGGAGGGAAACTCCCTTCTGTCGCCAAAGATGGCGCAGGTTCAAGAAGGCAGCTCTGGTCTTTGCAATGCGTGAGCTCACGTCAGTTTCTATGCGCCCATCATTGCTGATGCAGCTGCCAAGATAAGTGAAATGATCAACCACCTCGAGTTCCTCGTTAGCAAGCGTCAAGGGGTCATCAAGTAGCTGGTGGTCCTGCAGCAACACTTTGCACTTTGAAGGTGCAAAGTGCATACCAAATAATGGGACCACTCTAGACAGGCAATTCAGGGTTGATTCTGCTGCAGAGGGCCAACTGAACTGATCTTGTAAGTGTTCCGCCCAACAAATCATACGGCGCTCCTTATGGTGTATCAGTGCACCCGCGTTGTCTGGTTGTTTCACTGACGCCTGGTTTCCTGACACCAGTGGTGCGGATAAGCTGGAAGTGCTCGCGGTAATTATCTACTGCTCCTGCCTCCTCCATTTCTTGAGACCAAGTGGTCCACCAGGCTTCCTTGTCAGCATGGAGGCTCCGCCTTAGTCCGCGCCTAATAGCCCGTCTGGTCACATTGTGTTCAAAGCCGTCCGGGAGGATTCTCCTAGATTTCAAAAGGTCCACCGACCTCTCGGATATCCAGTGACTAGTGCGGTGACTATTGATAGTGTCATAAGCAGATACTCCTGCGTCGTGCATGGTGGCCGAGATCCTATTCCACTGAAGTTCAGCGTCATTAGGACAACACAGCGAAAGTTCGGTACGGAGCGCCTCTTGATAGGCTTGCCTGACCAAGGGCTGAGACAATTTCTCAGTTGCTAATCGGAGGAGACGCTTTGTGCGCCTCCCGGTAAAGTTCATGGAGAAACGACAACGTGCTTAGGCATGATCAGAGTCGACACAGGTACTCCAGTATGAGCGGCAATCCAGCATGGAACCATGCCACCTGTAACTTATGGCTATGTGGTCAATTTGGGTCCATCGATGGCCAGCTACAGAACGCCATGTGGCACGTTGGCGCCTACTGTGTCCAAAAACAGTGCTACCAAGAAACAACTACTGCTCGTACACAGCTGCACCAAACGCTCACCGTTGGCAGTCCGTTCGGAGTTAAGCCCATAATCATCACCCAGCAGAGCTTCTGAAGAGTTCAGACGCTCTACTTGTGCGTTCATATCCCCTGCAAGTACTATAATGTCTGAACTAGTAGCACTGCGTATTAGCGCGTTCAGTTCGTGATAGAATGTGTTCTTGACCGCATTAGAATTGCAGTCGGTGGGAGCATAAACAGAAATGACAAACAAACAGCGTTTTGTTTTACCTCGTGAATCCACCTTAGCTGATGTCGTCAAAGGGGCTGCACATAAACGGCTGTTCACCGGAATCCAATCAATCAACGATGACTCAGCCTTGGAGCTGAGAATGATACCTACACCAGCTTGACCCGTGAGTGCTGCATCGGCGTCTAAGGATGCGTGCAACCAATAAAGATAAGATAAGTCGGGTGCAGTCAATTCAACAACCCTGTTAGGGTCAGTGATTCTAGCTTCGGACACACAACACATCAATACCCAGTGTGTCTAAGGTGCGTGCAAGCGCTGCCTGTTGACCTGTTTGCCTCGAAGTGCGGTTGAACGTCGCCAAGGAAACGGGAGTGTGGCCTTATAAGGGACTTTTGCCGATAGGCGTCCGATAGGTGCTGTGAAATAGTGGCTGCAGACGGTTCTATTTCAGTGGCACTTCGGTTGCTGTCAATTAAGCTGGGATGTGTAGGTTAGTAAATGGGGGTCGGGATGGGAGTAAGAAGAGCAGGTGGAAAAGAAAGAAGGGAGGCGCCAGCAGTAGCATGTTTTCGCTTATCCGCCCTGCTGTATGCAGCAGATAAGGCGACCCTTGCTAATCTGCGCGACGGCCGATGTTTGAAGAAACAGTCATGGTTGTATGTGGGCTGAGATACTGCCAGGGCGCCCAGATCTAGACAGGAGAACGATTAGGGTTCTCATCCAAAGCCTTTGGCTCAAAAGCCTGTCCACAAGGCAATGATTTAGTTTTACAGAAATAGATGCCATCACATTTCAAACCCTAATCTGGAGGACCAGGAGACTGATTTGGTATGACCACTCATCATTGACCAACCTGGTAGGAGTAGCTCTCAAAATGCCCGGAGGCATCACTCAGTATAGCTCAATGGGTCAAGGAGGTACGCAAACCGTAGCACCAAGTAAAGGCCCAGTGTCGTTGCGACAGCATGGTAAACAAGCATGGTAAACAGCATGGTAAACAATTTCAAACCCACTGTACAGTGTCACATGCTGCGAACAAGGCGCGGCGAAAGTTAGTTCGTTTCAGGCGAACGTTGTGTAACACCAAACCAGTTGTTCTCCGGCTATATAAAGCAGTGGTTAGACCACATCTAGAGTATTGTGTTCAGGTTAGCGCCACTTATGGAGCCGGCGCGACATCACACTCGCCCTGAAGGGTAGAGGGTACCATGAAGCGGTACGTTCGACCCTACTGTACGATTGTGAAATCTGGCCCCTTAGATCAGCGGACATAAAGAGACTAGTTACGTTCGACCACCAGTGCCTTCGTAATTTAGTTCACATTTGATGGCAACACCGAGTAAACAACGAGCGTGTTCGACGCCTTGCTTACAGCACAGGAAAAGGAAATGAACCGCTCAGCACGGTGATTTCACGCTCCAGGCTCCGATGGTTGGGCCACTTGTTACGCACGCCAGCCCACCGACTCCCGCGACGTGCGTTGTTTGCGCGCCGGGGGTGTGGGTGGAAGAGGTGGCCAAGCGATAACTTGGTCGAGAGGAATGAAGGCCCTCACTTCT